AACATTGTTTTTCTTTTTCTTTTTTCTTCTCAAGGTCTCCTTAGGGGCCGGTGGTTAAACAACAGCACTATTACCAACTAGAGATTGGTTTCTGAACATGTTCTACAGACGAGACAAACAATCTCAAGACAATTACAATGGCTGGGTGAGTGGAAGGTAGACAATGGCTCTGTGGCACCACTCCTCACGGGACAGGTTACTGTAATTCCAGCCTAACAGGTAAGGTCTTTACATTAGGTTCTCAGCATTGGACATGCAAGGACATACCATACCTGACATTAGCTCTTAAATTGCGCTGTTTTCAATGTCGAAGTGGCCTATGAAAGTCCAAGATCCAAATCTGGTAACTATAGATGGTGGTTTTATACAACAATAGGCGGAATTTACTAAGGGGCCATTCAAACAGAACAAGTTTTTACTTTAAAAATGTGAGATGCAGGGCAGTGAGTTTTTTTGTTTTTTTTTACATTGAACTTGAACGCCATGTTTTAAGCACAGCGTGTCAAGAGTTTGCAAATGCAACAGTTAAAAATGTCATTCTAGCCAATGTGTACATAGAAAAACATTGTTACAGCACTGCAGTGGAATGCAAAATGTGTTTTGTGTGAATGGCCCCTGAAAATAAATTATGTCCCAACACCTCAGATGACCCAACACCTGAGAAAAGATGACGCCAACCCCTACTGACAAATTTTCCTTACATTGTAAACATTATGATCACAACTTGTACAAATGATTGCCTTAATTGTGTCCATCGTTCTGCTTGAATACATGTCATTAGCTAAATGCATTATTTATATTATCATAGAATTGCACATTTCTGCTATATGGACATTACTTTCATATCACCAACAAATTACTCTTAATTGTAATGCAGAAACATGCATCTCCTGAAAAGCTGCTTTGAAACAACATGCATCATTAAAAACATTATACAAATAAACGTAAATTTAATTGAAAACATTAAATGTCCATGGATAGTGCCGTTTATTGGCAGGTGCTGTGTTTTAGTTCTTAAAAAAAGGAAATTAGGTTCCTTGAAGCATGATCTATCAGTATTATATTGGTTATTTGTAATATTTCATTAGGTATGTTTATTTCCCTTATTTTTACATGTATATTACCCTTTGTCATCATATAATGCTCACAAAGTGAAAAATATTTAAAAAGACTAAGAAATTAATAACACTGTCAAATGTTACATGTAAATATCTTTAACAAATCTCTAAATTAATATCTGTTTTTCATACTGTACATTACAATGTGATGCCTACATTTAGTTTTTCATACATAATTTGTAAATAATAGTAAATACAAATAGTGCTGAAAATAATGCTAATTCATTTTAAAATTCACAGTGCAGTACCATTTCAACTCATTTTGTAGCTTGTTACACAGGACTGAACACAGAACAGGTTTTTGCTGAAATACTGAATGCATTCGGTGAATTCACCTCAATGTTTGTTAAATAAGTCTCCAGACTTTTAGAAACCTGGAAATTCTCAGCTCAGCATACATGTGTTTGCAGTGATACGTTGAAATCCTTGTAGATAGACTAGGCATGCTGGTGTGATTGTGCAAGCTTAGTCATGAAAAAAAAGAGCAAATACCTACACCCCCCCAAAAAATCCATCCAAATGACATCCCTAGATATCTAAGCTTATCTGAGACTCCTTGTAGTACCAGCATGCTATTGCTGTTGCTGGTTCAAAGATATGCTGGCAATGATTTTAGAGGGGATTGTCACGTATAACATGCAAGGGGAAAAAAAAGGATTTCCTCTGAAGGAAATAAGTATCGGGTTGCTCTCAGTATGGTATTATATATCGACACAGCAACAGCTTTGAGTTTCTTAAAGTGGTAGTCATATCATGAAAAAAAGTCGTTGATCTCTTGAAACACGAAGGTTCAATGTAAACATACTCAGAGTTTTAAAACTGAAAACTTTTCCAGGCCAAACAGACCACCTATTGAAAGGAAGCTGCGGAAACGTCTTTTTCCGAACTTCCACAACTTTCTGAAGTCAGATTAATACACTGACACATGACCACCCGCATTTGCACATCAATGATGCCTAATCAGGAGTTAGCAACTTGGACCAGCCAGTCGTGGTGAAGTAACATGGAGGTGGTAGAAAAGAAAATGTTATTATTCCAGTTGGCAAATAACAGTAAGATATGGAGGTCTCTGATTATTTCAGTCTGACCTAAATTGTCTATGTGTCACATTTTGGTGAGAATTGTTTTATGAACCTGCCACAATCTAATCCAGCCTTTGCAAAGAACTTTGCAAAAACTTTGAAGGTTGTCTCTCATTTCACATGCAAAGAGGGTGTTTGCTCAGAATTTGAAGCTACAGCAGCAAAAACAGCAAAAAAGAAATAGTCACGTAAAACTAAATACAATAACAACAATAGATAAGAAATTAAGACTATTTTGAATTAGTGTATTAATTCCAAATATATTTTGTTACAGCACTGCCAGATTTTTTCCACTTATGTTTAATTTATTTATACTTAAAATAAGAAGGAAAAAATACACTCTCGTTAAGTCTTAATGTAACATGGGATAAGTAAATGCATCTTTTTACATAGTTTAACTTTATTTTTAATGGAAAACAAGTCAAAATACTAATTAAAACCTCATTAAGGTAATTCCTTTAAGTGTAAAATCTAATCCTTAAGGTTGTAAGTCCCATTCCATAAGCTCCGGAACCGTTCAGCAAGGACACTGGCCCCAACCCTGGTGGTCATGGTGCTCTACCATGCTAAATCATTTTAAGAGTATCGCTTAGAATAGTTCAAAGGCATGTGTGAATCTACAGACCTTGTCAGAGATCAGAGATAGAGGCCCCCAATACGCCTCAGGTGACTCCACTGAGCAGCTGCCAGAAGGCGTCAATTAAAAAATGTTCTTCCATCAAAGAACCTAATCTCAAGTTCGGCCAACACTTCCATTGTTGCAGGCTTCCATACCACTGCTTCAACATAAAAGAAAGCATTAAGGTGTGCTGTGGGACTTCCATACCATTGAGAACACATAAAGAGGGATTTTGAGGTGTGCTAGCTTACAATGCAAAGCTAACTGTTCAGCAGCTCTTATCATGAATGCTATGCCATAGTGCCGTTGCTTTGATGAGCTAAAATGACAAAAGGGAATAGAATACCATAACAAAAAAAAACAAAGAGAAAAACAAAGATGGTTATCCGACTTTACAATTTACTACTGTTTTCTAACTCAGTGAACAAGGCCGTTTGTAATTCCAGTCTATTTCAACACTACGAACATAAAAAAATTATTGTTGCTTTGACAGCGAAGCATAAAATGACAAATCAAAATGCAACCTGAGTTTTTTCGGAAGCAATAAATGGAGCTGGCCGCAGGCGATGTCTATATGAGCCATGGCTACCCCAATGTCCATCAGGTTTCATATATTATACAGAGCGCCCCCAGGTCATCAATTCCTTTTGTTTCCCATGAGGCATTATTCTGCAATTTTTGTCATGTCCCTCAGAGAGTCAAAAAACACGCTGCTCATACTCCATAGGCAAGGCAATCGTCGACAGATCATATTCACTACAAACACACTCTGTTGTCTAAATAAATATGTTCTTGGTATAGAAAACACATTTGTTCCATGGGTATGGAGAAGATTTTCTGAGAGAAATCAAGGTATGGCTTCACATTCTGTTTTCTTTGTGTGCTAGGACACAGGAGGATAGGAATCTTGATGAAATGAAAGACGTTTATCTCTTGCTATCTTCAGCATGCTCTATCGCTGTCTGAAATGTGTGGAAAACCCAATGAATAAGATAAACGAAACAAAAAATGCAGATCTACAGTCGGAGCCTGTGCAATATACAGGAACAGAGGAAAAACAACCAGAATCACTAGGCTGGGCGCTACATTCCCAAAACGCTTTGAATTTTAGCAGTGGACTTTGTCCGAAAATTGTGTATAACAGTGGTGAACACGCCTGACTAAGTCTTTCAATAAAAAAGACTAAGAATTGCTGTTATGATCAGCATTTAAAGCTGACTGAGGTATGAACATGCTCTAAAAATATACATATATGCAGGCTACCTTCTTTGCCTTTCAAGCATTCTTTGTCAGTTTTTATATGATTCACGCTTAGCCAACAAAAATATTGCCAATGTTTAGTCATGCAACTAGCTATTTTCTGTAGTATGACAGCAGTAGCTATTTTCAAAATAGTATAGCTTGACCAGCACGCAGTCGTTTTTCCAGTTATTGCACTTTCTTTCATATATAGGGTTAGTTACATAAGATTAATTACTGATTTGATTCATTTCAGTGAATTACTGAATCAATTTATCTTAGAACAAAAACTTTGTGAACATCTTTGTGAATTGATTCATTTTAGTAAATGACTTACTGATTAAACAATTCAAAGAATAATTTGAGTCCATGCACAGTATTCTTCTTTTTTACACCCAAATACTTGGTTAAATGCTGTATTATGTGCTATTACATCAAATAGGTTTTTGTATTTTTATTTAGTATAAATGTATCTTTTATAACAATGCAGTTTTCTACATTTTGGTAGTAGCTTGTAGTGTAGCAAGCTACTTTTTAGTACTTTGACTGAAGTATAACTTAGCATTACCAATTGTAAACATGTTTTCAAACAGGTTTCCCATCATTGGTCAGAGAAAAACAAATATTCCAGCACCAAACTCACAGCACTGGTTGAGCCAGTGTTGCTACATTTGGCTGGTTGGCATGACCAAACAAATTAATGTTTTGATATTGCCACTGAGAAATGTTTTTACACTTACAGCTGTCTCTGCATATTAAAAAATATTCTAAGACTGACACCTTCAACAACTTCAAAACTACATTATCTTTTAATTTGGCAAGCTAGAATTTCAAAGTAGTTTCCCCAACACATGTACTGTAAGATATTCCTAGAGAGAAAATAAATAATGCTGTAATATCCCAGGAGTAAGAGCATGTACTGTGAGAGACATCAGTGCTCACTTTGAATAGAGATGATGGGGTGCTCTAGGCGGTTACACTCCGGCCTCGTGTGGGGTGCTGGGGTGGGGGAGGGTTCTGTAGGGAGAGGGGGCCTCTGGGATAGTATAGCAGGAAACGGAAGAGTGATGAAACAGAGGATAAGGCCGGGCACAGCCAGGGAAGCCACGGCCCGTGGCAACACTGTCATGGTGACGGAGGCCGACCTCTCCTCTAGCTGCCAAGGTGGGCCTCTGGAATGCACCTGTTGAGACCGGAGAAAAAGATTCATGGTAAACATACTTTAAGGTTTCCATTTTTCTGCAGCACACACACATCTTTACGGTCATAGGAGTTGAATAGTTTGGCAATATTGTACTTCTTTATGATTATGTCAAAGTTTTGTTGACTTGAGAGAGAAGGTGAAAGAAAAAGTAAACAGAAAAATTACTATTTGTCCTTACGACAACAGTTAAAATGTGTATGAAACTGAAAGTTGCAAAAGAGTCAGACCAAAAATCTAATTAATTTTCTATTTTGAATTATCTATAAAGTAGGGGGGCTGATCAACGAAATAATGCTGATATATTACTGTAGGCATTTCTGTAGTTCAAACAAAAGGTCACGGGTCCAGTTTGTGTCTGCCAAATACATAAATTACAATGTAAATATATTACAAGCATTTCAATGTACCAATGGCAAATGAGATGCAGAGAACATGCCTTAATTCATATTAAATACACTGAATTAATATTAAATAAAATATTTTTTTTTACAAATATTTACTCAAAAAACAAAAAAAACAGAATACAGAAAATAGAAAAAAAAAATCAGAAAGAAAAAACAATTTCCCTTGAAAAGGGTCAAATATTCACATATATTTTTTGGGCTGGCTGATTACTAACATGTGCATACTCTAACATCCAACACTCAAAAAAATTCCCCAGCAGAATTACACCACAAAAAGCTACTAATATTCCAGTTGCTGACTAATAATATGAGTAATTTACAAGTTGTGCTGTTCCTGGGTGTGTATTAGCACCTGCGGCATTGCAAAATCCTTCTAAAGCATCCTAACATTTTGTAAAGAGTGGCTGAAGTGTATTTTTAACAAGGTCCCTGATCTTTTCAGTCCAGCCATAACAGTTTGTGCAGCACAGTTCAGCCATGAATGCTTAGTGATTCGGTCACAATGCAATGCAGGCCTTGCAAGGAGATTGAATGATTGTGGCAACTACATTGGACCCCACAGAAAACCCTAACAAAAACATGCAGCACTTGAAAAAGAGCAAGCTAGAACTTTCAGATTCTGGATCACAACAATTATGGTAATATAATATAGAGGTAAAAAAAAATATCCAAAATTCACATGCAATAACTGTGATGGCTGGTGCAGGGGAACTGGGGTAGGAAGCAGAAGTGGTGGGTGGTGTTGTTAAAAGTTTCTGGCAGTAAGTGGTGGCCCAGCTTGATCAGCATAAAACCCCTTAAGCACCCAGGCACTTCTGTCTGCTTCATATGCGGAGGAGTTTTAATATCATGGTTGATCTTATTAGAGGTGAGGCATGACATCTCCATCTCTATTCAGAGCAGCTCCAGTGCAGTCATATTACAACACACAGCAGTTACCTCACTGCACTCAGCTGCCCGTCAATCTCCTCACACACCATGTCATATGCTAACTGCTCAAATCATAATGTGTCACACTTCAGCAAGCAAGCCTACGGACCTAGGAGACCAAGCTTTAATTGAACACCCACATTTCCCGAAGCTGGAATCTAGTATTCTTAAGGAACCCATTTGCAAAAATAAGGCCAATTTTCCTTATGGTCACAAATTCAGAAGAGATGAAGGGTGAATTTAAACTACATCCATTTATTTCACACCTAATACAATATAATAAAATATAATGCCAGTATCGGCTGCTCTTGTTAGGGGTCACCACAGTAGATCATCTGCATACTGTATATACACTGGACCAAACCAAAACAATAAGGGGACGCCCATAAGGGGTCACTACAGTGGATCATCTGCAGAGTGTATTTGACATGGAAATACAATAAAATAAAAATTGCATTATACCATACGAATTTATACTTTACATATATTTGCTATTTATATGTTGATTGTAAAAATGTTTTATTTAATCTTCATAGCAACTACTAAATGGTCAAAAGAGGCTTTGTATAACCAGCATCTTGTAGTTACAGCATCTACCAGCAGGGGCTAACTGGACTAACCAGCAAAACCCCTTGGTTTAAACTACTAAAACTTTGTGGTAAACTAGTTAGAAAGCCATTTCGGGACATCAGCACACCAGTATCGCATGCTATGGACAAATGTGGTTAAAAGTTGTGCACCACCAACATTAATGTCATTTCGCTGTAGACATGATATATGGAGTTTATAGCCAGAGAGAAACCAGCAGCACATCACCATCTTTCATGCAGGGCCAAAGTTAATCTTGTGGCACATAATATTATTTGAGTGTTTAAAAAACAAGACTGAATTCATGCAATCCACTGAGATGCACCAGGGGCTAATTTACAGTTTCACCATTGGATGAGGCAATCAATAACAAATTATTAGCTTGGTTATGTTGCAAATTACCATGATGCCTTCTCAATTATCCCTCTTGCAACAGCGGGTAACTAATTAGGCAAATGAACATGGCAACTGGCTTGCTATACAGTCAACCATCTGCATGAGACAGGACTATTCACAACACTTACCATCTCTAGATTGAACTAAATTCTTGTTGACTTGAGCATGTGCAAGTGCAAAGGCAATGATCTAGAATGCAAACGCTACAGAAAAACACACATCCTTTTTGTATCCTGTAGCACTTGCTTGGGTCAAGACTGCTTATTAGGGTTTATGTAATAAAGTTTGGCTGAGTGGGTGTATTGACGCATGTGAAAAAGAAGTGTTTTAGCCTAGAGAGAAATGAGAAAAAGACCAGAAACTTTGATGGGAAAATGACTACTTGACCTTGTGTTAATATTTCAAATGTGTAATCTCAGAAATATTTACATATTTATTGCTCTTGCCACTCATAAATACATACATATACTAACGTTCAGAAGAGGTTAAGTGATGGGGAAATATCATAAATAGTTATCCTTGATGAATTATCCTTGATGTTTTGGAAAAACACAAAACAAAAAACAAACAAACTTTGATTTACTATGTACAGCAGATTAGTGGTCAACCATACAGGGTTTACAATGCTGATGATGGTGTCTATAGGGCAGATAAATTGTGAATAATTTTATTTAATGAGAGATAGATAATATTCCTTAATTAAGAATAAATATACTGAATTAATATTACTAAAAAACTAAATTTGCCATTTATTAGCATTTCTTTACACAATATTTAGTCCAAATTTACAAAATAACACTTAATTATCATTCTCTAAAGCAGTGATGCCTATTTGTGTTATTCAGTGAAGTAATAAGGATGGATCCTATAATTTCCAAACACCAAGAGGAGGAGAAACTAATAAAATACACATTGATGCCATTATCAAACTATAAAGTGCATTCTTTCATTTCAACAGAGTAAAGAACATGTTCATCTCCCATTATGCTAGAGCAACACCAATTTATGAAGAGACATCTATTTAAGGAGGTCATGTACACACTTCTGGCTTGGGATCTGAAATTTGTGGCTGGGGATGTGTGCTTTACTCAGCTGGTTGTTGAAGTGCTGCTGTGATGGGAAAGAAAGAGGTCACTCTGAACCAGCTGCATTAAGCCCAAGAGACAAGGGGGGGGAAATTAATACATAAAAAGCAAATCCACACAAGCAAGCAAGCACATGTGAAGTTCAAAAACAGTTGTTAACAACTTGCATCCCAACATTGAGTCAACAGCTGTGAGCTAATTAGTCCCAATGCCAAATAGCAAAGACGTTAAAGATCTACACAGACGTGCCTGTGCACAAGCACCACCTACACTTAGAAATTAAGGCTCAAAACAGCTGGTGGCACTTCTAAACTCGCCTTAGAGAGTGGGATGAGCTGGTAGCGCTTCAGAATGTGTTAGAAGAAAGATCAAGCCAAAGAAAGCACTCAAGACTCCTTCCCTCTGGGATACTTGCAAAACGGCCCATTGCACTTTATGGCCGTCTAGCTATTTTAGTACATGGGAAAAGAAAATACCCATCTGGGACACTTCGATAGATTTCACAGGAGTAGTGGACAATCTTAGTGGATGGTCAATTATTCGTGGACCGTGTGCACTTGGCTTAAGGAACTTCCCTTGATTAGACTAATGAATGCACACACACAGTGCTTCTGTCAATAGCACCCAGATCAGCCAGGATAACATGCACACTGCAGGCTACCCAAGCCCCTAGCATATGCAAAATGGCCCATTGCACTTTATGGCTGTCTAGCTATTTTAGAGCGTGGGGAAATAAAATACCCAACTGGGACACTTCGCTAGATTTCACAGGAGTAGTGGACAATCTGAGTGGATGGTCAATTATCCGTGGACCGCGTGCACTTGGCTTAAGGAACTTCCCTTGATTAGACTAATGAATGCACACACACAGTGCTTCTGTCAATAGCACCCAGATCAGCCAGGATAACATGCACACTGCAGGCTACCCAAGCCCCTAGCATATTTCCATGGAAACAGACCCGACTAATGAACACGTTGTTAACGCCGTTGGACAATTGCGAAAGATGGCGCAGGTTTGTTCGCCACCTTACAGGCAAGACAGGCCCCTTGTGAGACAAGAGAGCAGGTATAGCCAAAGAGCAAACACGATCTCTCCTAATGAGTGCCCCTTCTTCATTTAACACCTCATCAAATGACAGTGATGTCAGACGGGGCCATCAAGATCTGTCAGCAAGAGGGAATCACTCTGAGCCTGGTGCCTGGATGGAGGCAAATTGTAAGACGTCAACAGCAGTTTCTCATGTGCCTCCTGGGCTGCCCATCTGACAGCAAGATGAACAACAGAACAAAATCAGCTCTGAGCACACACAGAGTAGTTACGATGAGCTGTTGCTCCAGGGATCTTTTTACAGTCCTTAATACAGGTTTAGCTGATTTCAGTTTCTGCGTCCTGAATCCGCGCTGCCTTAGCTTCACGACCGCGCCGGCTCGCTTCCCCTGTCTGCGTGTCCTGAAGCGTCTGAACAGCGCCGCTGCTCCCCCGACTACAATGTCCAGCAAAACATCAGAATAATCGAAAACCGGTGAAATATCGGGTGGTGTGTACT